ACGACGAAGTTTGGGATGACATTACCAGAGTTGTCTTACAATTCTGGGTAAAACTAGACTTAAAGTAAAAACTCTAGAACCACATGGCCAGATGTCTTACAAGTATGCAAAACAACCACGTGACAACGGAAATGTGTAGATATGTGGGTGAAGCCTATTTCAATCAGACTTCAATTAAAATCTGGAATTAGATTACCAACATTGTACGAAGTCTGTAAAAATCAGACTTAAATGTCTGCACGCTGTACCATGCAGTCAGAATTCGAGACTCTGGAAGCAAATCAACAAATTTGGGAGTTGACATGACCAGAGTTGTTTTATGTGGGGAAAACGTATCAGAGATTTCTTCTTAGTCTGGGAAATAAGTCCATATTAAAACATACTTTGAAGTTTTGAATTACATCACCAGAGCTGACTTTAATTAAGAATCTGGAATTAGATTGCCAGAATTGGACGAAATATGTATTAATCAGACTTAAATGATTGCACTACATCACCGACCGTGTGTTACAAAAAGACTTCAGAGTTCAGACTTCTAAGTCTGAAAGAGAAGACTTCAAAGTTCAGACTCTAGAGTTCGGGTGAGCTAACTCTTTAGAATGACTCTTCATACTTGTACTCTTGAAATAACTCTGAAATATAACTCTGAAGAATGACTTCAGACGTGTACTCTTGAAATATCTCTAAAGTAAAACTCTGAAGAATGACTTCAGACTTGAATTTAGAAACAAAACTATATCAATAATCAGTTAAACTGAAGTTAACCCTAGAATAAGTCCATACAGAGCAAGACTAACCAGAGCTCCTCTGGTTCTTAAGGACCAGAGACCCTGTGGACTCACCAACCAAAGCAAGACGTCATGGTAAAGTTTGCATCATACAGAGCAAAACCAACCAGAGCTCATCTGGTTCTTAAGGACCAGAGCCCCTGTGGACTCACCAACCAAAAGCAAGGCCAACCCAAAAGCAAGGCCAACCAAAGGCCCTCTGGTCAACCATAGTCTTTGGTTCGTCTATCCAGAGCCTTTGGGTCAAAAAAAATGTTAAAAAATTAAAGAATTTGAGTTTCAATTACAACTAGAGACCCTCTGGTTAAACATGAAGATCAACCAGAGCCCCTCTGGTTCTTTATGATGGATTGAAATATTTTTCCAAGGTTCAAATAAACAACTATAAGCAAAGACATCCATAAGCCATACCAACCAGAGGGGCTTTGGCTTACAAGACTAAGTCTAAGTCTTAAAGACTTATCTTCAAAGTCTAGATAAGTTTATTACAAGACTTGTACTCTTGAAATTACTCTGAAGTAAAACTCTTCAGACTTCAGAGCTCTGTATAGGCAAGCCACAAGCTCTGCATGCACTATGCAGAGGCTCTGCATGCACTATGCAGAGGCTCTGCATGGTATCCGTTTGGAAAAGAAGATTGTAGAGTTCAGGTGAGGTAACTCTGAAGAATGACTCTTCAGACTTGTACTCTGGAAATAACTCTAAAATAAAACTCTGAAGAATGACTCTTCAAACTTGTACTCTTGAAATAACCATGAAGTATAGAACTAATCACATTAAATCAGAGTTCAGACTTCTAAGTCTGGGGGAAAAGAGTTTAGAGTTCAGACTTCGGAGTTCGGGTGAGCTAAGTCTGAAAAGAAGACTTCAGAGTTCGGGTGAGCTAATTTTAAAGAATGACTTTTCAGACTTGTACTCTTCTGAATTGTAAAAGACTTCAGAATTCAGACTTCTAAGTCTGTAAAAGAAGACTTCAGACTTCTTTTTCTAAGTCTAAGAAAAGACTTCAGGGTTCAGACTTCTAAATCTGAAAAAGAAGACTTCAGACTTCATTTTCTAAGTCTTTAAAAAATACTTTAGGGTTCAGACTTCTACGTCTGAAAAGAAGATTTCAAAGTTCAGACTCCAGAGTTCGGTTGAGTTATGTCTGAAAAAGCAAACTTCAGAGTTCGGGTGAGCTAACTCTGAAGAATGACTTCAGACTTGTTCTCTTGAAATAACTTTGAAGTAAAACTTTTCAGTAAATTGAATTTAGAATAAAATGAAGTTAACCCTAGAATAAAGTTGAATTTAGAAATGAAACTATATCAGTAAATTGAATTTAAACTTAGAAGTAAACACCATTTTTTTCGAGAATCAGTTACCACACGAATTAATTAACCAAATAATGAAATCAATTGCATCCTAAATTAGTAGGACTTAAATCAAGAACTCTGGAACCACATGACCAGATGTCCTACAAGTCTGGAAAACAACCACGTGACAATCAAAGATGTGTAGGTATGTGAAGTCTGTAAAATTCAAGCTTAAATGTCTGCACGTTGTACCATGCAGCCATACTTTGAAACTCTGGAAGTAGATCAACAGAGATGTGAGTTGACATGACCAGAGTTGTTTCATGTGGAGAAAACATATCAGAGATTTCTTCTTAGTCTTGGAAATAAGTCCATATTAAAACAGACTTTGAAGTTTTGAATCACATCACCAAAGCTGACTTATAGTTGAAAATAGTCTGTGTTAATCAGTGTTAATCAGATGACAAAGTCTGGAATCACATCACATAATTGTATTGCAAACTCTGGGTAAAATCATATGGTTTATTTCCCAACTCTAGGGAATAACACTTATAAGTCTGACTACTGTGCGACTGAAATCTGGAAACACGTAATCAGACTTGTCTTACAAGTACGGGAGAGAACATATCAATGTCGGTTTTCCTAACTATGGCAACACGTCGCCGAATATGTGAGAGAAGTCTGTACCAGCCAGAATTAAACAAAACTCTAGAAGGACGACGTCCACGTAATAAGGAAATCAGTAAAATCACGATAATGGGAAAATAAATGTTTAGATGGACAAATGTCAATTAAATAGACCTATTTGAACCATAAGTGAAAATTATGTCTAGATACATGTTTAGGCAGAAAATACCAATAACCGTCACACAGAAACAGGACACGTGGCTCCCAAGTTAGTTATTTATTAGGTGTTTTAGATGTTGGATTGAATTTAGACTTAATTATGTTGAGTATTTCCACTAGTGTTATAACTATGACTTTTTGTCCTTTATCAAGTATGAATTTTGTATGCATCATACATAAATTCAAACTGCATAAACCATATTGTACGGTATTTTGCAGTTTGAGTCATACGTTGTTTGAATAAGTGTTCAAACAGTGCTTGCAGTTTGGTTTGCAGTTCTAACTTTAAAGTGCACTCATCGCAAACACCCTTAAACAAAACGTGTCAAATATAACAAAGTTTGATTTAATTTCAATTTAATATAACAAATTCTTTTATTGTTCATCGATGAACCAGACTGTTAAAATTTACTATTTTGTACCCATCTTACCAATTAAACCGTTTTTCAGCCTACATAAACATAAAAGGTGATCTTTTAACCACAAGGGTGATGTCTGATTGGTTTGAGCTTGGCTCCAAAGGTCAAAAGTACCAGGAGGTCTCAGGTTCAAATCCAAGAAGGAATAAAAATCCCCTTGTGGCCACGGAGGTTCAAATGCGGTGACTCCAAGCTATCTACAAAGCAGGTGGTCGTCCTAGGATTAGTCTACTCCCATAGCGGGTTGGATATCCAGGTTAATAAATAAAAAGGTGATTTTAAAAATCTTGAGTTATTAAAAAAATTAATGAAACCATAATAGACATGGTAATCGACGTAACAAGTTTCACAATTCGATTAACAACTTAGGGGGTGTTTGGTTAGGTGTATTAAAGGGTAATGAATGAAAATGATAATCTTTGATTGTGTTTGTTTCAAACAAGGAATGGAAATGGAATGAAAAATGGTGTTTGGTAATAGATAATTAATTAATCATTATAATAGATTTTATTAAAAACCATTCCTCCCCAATTTGGGGGGAATAGAAATCTTGTTCTCCCCTTATCCTCCTCAAGGTATCTTCTTCTCCCTTACCATCGTCTCCCCTTATCCTCCTCAAGGTATCTTCTTCTCCCTTACCATTTCTCCATCTATCTCTTCCTACACCTCAGATCTGATACAAATCTTGTTTGACGATCAAGTTTTTCGAAGATTAATCTCCATTTCAGTTASGGTTTTCTCCATCTCRATCAAAAARGGSGAACTCGGTTTTCTCCATCGGATCGAAGATTTCGATTTGATTTATCACATCGATTTGTTTATTTCCTCCGATTTTCACATAGATTTGTTTATTTCCTCCGATTTTCACATAGATAACATCTCTGTTCCGGTTTTCGTTATACTCGGTTCAAGGTTTTCTGATGAAGAAAGAAATAAGGGATGGTTTCTCTTCTACTCGGTTAGGGTTTTCTGAGAAAGAGAGAAATCATGGATGCTATGTGCTGTTGGTAGCTTGGAGATGGAGATAGACTTTTTATGATAAAKAATGRAGATAATGTATTGATGATGGAAAAGTATTGCTGTTGGATGYTAGGTGCTGATGGATGCTATGTGCTGATGTATTGGAGATGGAGATAGACTTTTTTTGGTGTAAAGATGCAGATCCCTTCAACTATATAGATGTTGTTGGTGAATGTCTTGTTTGATAATACCTTCGTCAAACAAACATCAACAATATAAAGAAATATAATGGAATATAAAATAATGTAATGAATATATTCATTCCTATTTCCTAATATATTAATTCCCATTTTCATTCCTATTCCAACAAATGAACCAAACGCACCCTTAGACAATTGTTACAAGATGGGTACGGGTTTTTTTCACAATTCGATTAACTTAGACATTGTTACAAGATGGGTACGGGTTTTTTCACAATTCCGTTAACAACTTAGACATTGTTACAAGATGGGTCGGGAGTTTTTCACAATTCCATTAACAACTTGCACATTGTTAAAAGATGAGTAGGTTTTTTTTAATCAGAATGGGTACATCGAATATTATTCGGATGAGTAGTTTATCCATCAAATTGGGTACGAAAAAGACTCAGGTTTTTTCATGGATTGTGAAAAAAACCGATTCGTTACACAAAATAGGTATTAAACCATTTTGTTGCATTTTACCCTTGATAATAAATAAATAAATGTGGTATTTACAGTAAATTAATAAGATTTTGACCAAACAAAATTTGTTGACTTTGACCCATTTTTCCAAGATTTGACCATAAATGATCCTCCAAATGAACCAAAGGCATAAAAGGGTGAATGAATCAAGAAGCAACATTGCTGAATCCAAAATAGATGGTCCTCTGTTGATAGGCATTGAGCGCATAGTCGACTTGAAAGTGGCCCATAGGGAACTTGAACCGGACTCCACATCCAACACCAGCTCCGGCTCCCGGTTTACCATATCTTAGACCCGGGTTTCCTATAAATAATGAATGAAGTCACTTAACCGTATATCCCACTTGAATGTGGTTCTGGGGGTGTGATATATGCAAAATTGTTTTCTACCCATAAAGAGTAGAGCAACTATTTCCACGAAGACCCCTGACTTGTGAAAAAATGTAAACAAAATAGTCTTGACAAGAAAAACAAAGAATTTCGGACCAGGTTGGAAAAAACGACGATAAGCAACATTAAAAGAAAAGAGTAGTTACAGTGAAACATAAAAAACAGGAATGGAAAACTAACCGGGAACATATCGACCTGAACCCAAATCACTTCCAACATCACAGAAGAGCGCACCATCAAGCATCTGATTCTGGTAACACAAGCCAATACTTTACACTTGAGATGAAAGTGAATGTGTATCTTAAATCAAGGAGTAAACAATGGTTCATCAAATTAGTGATTAAGAAAATGTACGAAACCACAACTGTCAAGACTCGTAAACCAAGTGGTTGTGAAGAAGCATAACAGAAACATCCCTTTAGTTTTACTAAAAGGCCTTTGGCCTTCTAGGAGGTCAAGGGTTCAAAGCTCACCAAAGGTGAGGAGGGTGAGTGGGTTTATTTGTTCTATTTAAGGTATATAAATATGATATACTTCAAAAAGAACATCCCTTTAATTTTCTTCACTTTGTTTTCCCTATGGTATTTACCATGGCCTAGCCTTTATTTACCAATTTAGCTATACGGTAAGAACACAAAGAATGATTCATCATGGCCTACCCTAAAGTTACATTGCTTTTTTCTCTCGAAAAGACCATGTTTAATGCAAACCAAACCAAACCAACCCGGCCTAGTAAATTCCACTTGAAAGCAGGTCTGGGGTGGCGATGTATCCAGACTTGTCCTCTACCCCCAAGAAGCAATGTTTAATGCACTATCACTAATTTCGCAAGGCTTTGGGTTTGTTTCCGAGATGTCAGCGGTTCAAGTCCTCTCAGGGTCACTGGAGGGTTTTCCTGGCTGTAGGTTCAGGCCCCATGAGATTAGTCAAGGTGCGTGTAAGCTGGCACCAACATCCCCGGCCATCCAAACAAGATCAAAGAGGCACATTCCGTCACTTTTGGGAAGTCAACTTTTGCACTAATGAACACCATGGTATTGAGATGCACTGACTAAGGCAATATTCAATTAGTATTAAAAAGAATTGGTAAAACCATGTGATAAGTGTTCATTTGCTTCATCACTTCAAAGGACTGTAACATGATTACCAAATTGAGTACCAAAATGCAAGAGATCCGAATGAACAAATTAAAATATAAGATTAGGTCTAGACTCGTTCCTAGTGGTAGAGATCTGTATTATGTTAGCATAAAACATCATTTATTACATATAAGATTTAATTGAAAAGACACAGCAGAGAACACTAGGGTTTACCCTAAATCCACCATGGATTCAAGCTTGGCTTATCATTGGTATCAGGGCCCTTCTCATGCACCCGAAGTTGATGGTCCGACTCACCAACGCTCAATTAATGGATAAGTATGAAGTAGTCTATCAGTGATTAGCTGCTCATGATGAATCCCTCAAGCTTCTCCACAACAGCATGACGGAATTGAAAGGGGTATGCAAGAGAGTATGAAGGGACTGCTGGAGTTAGCGGAAGGGGTTAAGTTCTTACTCATCAATTACACACAGCAGAAAGAACAAAGGACCAGAACTCCAATCTCTGTATTCCCAAGGGGACTTTTCCGGTGTCATACCACCCCCGAATTCGAAGCAAGGCTACCAACTCGTAAACCATATGACCAAATTGGAGTTTCCCTCATTCGCTGGTGATGGATTTAAAGACTGGCAGTACAAATGTAGCCAGTTCTTTGAATAGGATGAAACACCAGAAAATAAGAAGATCAGCTGAAAGGGAGGGCACTGCAGTGGCATCAGGGGTTTATGAAGGAGACAGTGGGAAAAAACATCAGTTAGAAACAATATTTAGAAGAACTCCAAGATCAATTTGTGGAAGGTATAGTTTCTAAACAGTTAATAGAACTCAGGAACTTGAAATTAACCTCCCGAATTGATGTTAGATCTATATTTAAGACTTCCAAATGAAATATTCCACACCATTCAGCTACTCAACCCACAAACCATAAACCAAGCTATGAAACTAGCAAAAATACAAGACAAAACCCAAACAATGATTTGCCAAGTAACCCGAAGACGGCAGATCAAAATAAACTCAACTTCCCTGCACCCACCTTGCTTCCTGCTCCTAAATTTTTCCCAACAACATCCCAGAATAATCCATCCTATTACCAGCCAAGAACACTACCACCCCCTTTTACACATAAACCTCTTCCCAGAGCCCAAAACAACCCATCATTGAATCCTAAACAGCAAGCCTACCCAGTTTAAACAGCTGACCAGAAAGGAATACGATGAAAAAAGAAAAAGCAATCAATGTTTGTATTGCAACGAAAAGTATGTGCCAGGACAAACGGGAGGTTCTACATGCTTATTTATCCAGAAGTTGCAGGGAATCAACAGAAACCGGTGCCGTTGAGGGAGAGTTCCCAACAGACGACAATTTTGTAGGAAATAAAGACGTATCATATCAATTTATGCCTTGCTTGGCTCCTCGCATATGCACGCATTACAGTCAGATGGTGAGGAAACATTTTGTGACTATGTTGGTAGATAGTGGTAGCCCTCCCAATTTCATTGACCTAAACCAAGGTAACAGGCTAGGTTTCACACTAATTCCTGTCAAGACAATGAACGTAGTGGTGGCTGATGGGTCCAAATTATCAGTTTAGTATGTTGTTAAAGAGCTGAAATGGGTTATTCAAGGAGTCGAATTCAGCGTTCACTTCTTTGCAATGTCCATTGGGGGTATGGAATTAGGGATGGCAAAAAGAAACCGCACCCGACTAGGAAAGCGATACCAGCCCCGGTTTGACCGAGGAATCCCCGAGTTGACCGCCAATGGGGAATCTCCGAACGTATAAACCGGGTATGGGGATACCCTTAATCCCCAACCCGAGTATTAATTATATATTTCTATGTATGTGATACGAACCAAATCCAACCCTGGGGTTAGGAACCGAGAAGTGCCTGAATTCGAGAACAGGTAATCTCCACAAAAGTCAAAGACTCTCTTAATTGATTGAATGAATGTACAAGAAACAATGGAGCACCATATTTATAGAGTTCCGCTAACAAGGAAACCTCTAAAAAAGAAGAAATTATTCTGCCCATAAAAGAAATAACCGAAATGCTTAAATTAGGAGATTATCTTCCATTCTTAACTTTGTTGCCTTAATTGTCTTCTCTGGAAAACTTGACCATATCGTCCAGGTATATCATTACTTCCCCGCCAAACTACCACCTTGTCCTCAAGGTGGAAATCAAGGAACTGGCGGTTGATAGCTTCGAGCGGCTCCCAAGTTGCCTCGTACGCAGGCAAGTCCGTCCAACGTATCAAGACTTCCTGCCCCCCAATTCCGTCACGAACTCCTTCCACCCGATCCGGCTGTAGTAAAACTTCCATCTCCTCTGTTAGTGTTGCTGGTAGCTGGGGCGCCGCCACTCGATTGCCTATGGCCTTCCGCAATTGAGACACGTGGAACACGTCATGGATTCGGGCGGATGCTGGTAACTTCAGACGGTATGCAACCTTACCAATTTTTTCCAGAACCTCAAAAGGTCCAAAAAACCGCGGGGCCAACTTCTCATTTCGGCGTCTAGCTACTGAACGCTGGCGGTACGGTTTCAGCTTCAAATAAGCCCAATCCCCTACTGCAAATTGAGCATCATGCCTATGCTCATCAGCCCGTGTCTTCATCAGTTGTTGTGCGCGAAGCAAATAACCTCGTAACTCCTGCAAGACTTGATCACGTTCAAGTAAGTATTGGTCAACCGTACTAACTGGAGTTGGCACACTTCCATAATGCAACAGATGGGGTGGGTCACGACCATATAACACGCGGAAAGGGGTAGTTTTGGTGGACGTATGGAAACATGTATTGTACGAATACTCAGCCCAGGGAAGCCACGTGACCCATTTTTTTGGTGTATCTGCAACAAAACAACGTAAGTAAGTTTCAATACATCGGTTGACCACCTCAGTCTGTCCATCCGTCTGCGGGTGGTACGCCATACTCCTCTTGAGTGTAGTGCCCAGCAATCTGAATAGTTCCTTCCAGAAATTACTCAAGAAGACCTTGTCTCGGTCTGAAACAATTGACTCAGGTACGCCGTGCAACCTGACCACCTCCTTGATGAAAATTGCTGCCACCATCGATGCCGTGTACGGGTATTTTAGAGGAATGAAATGAGCATATTTGCTGAGCCTATCCACCACAACAAAGATGACTGTGAACCCCTCTGAGATGGGCAACCCGTCGATAAAATCCATGGTCAATTCCGACCATCCTGTTGTGGGTAAGGCCAACGGTTGTAGTAATCCACTAGGTGCTATAGTTGAGTATTTTTGTCGCTAGCATACGTCACATTCGGCTACAAATCTAGTGACGTCGCCTTTCATGCCCACCCAATACACCTCACGGGCCATTCGCTTATACGTCTTTTGCACACCGGAGTGATCGCCAATCATGCTGTTATGGAACTTGCGACACAACACTGGAATCCACCCCGAATTTTTCGGTAACACTAGCCGACCTTTAAACAGGAGATTCCCACCGTCAATGGTGTACCCCTCCAGAATCGACTCACCCTCGACAATTTTACGTTTCAGACTTTGAATTTCCGCATCGTCCTCTATGTCTCTTTAACCCATTCCAGTCAACTTTCCACAAAGCGGTCAACACGGTTAGTTGTGCCTCAGCTGGTTTGCGTGAAAGAGCATCTGCCGCACTATTTTCCTTGCCAGGATGGTACACGATGTCAAAATTGTATCCTAAGAGTTTACACAACCACTTCTGGTATTCTTCGGTAACTGTGCGCTGTTCGAGAAGGTATTTAAGGCTGCGTTGGTCCGTTTTCACTAAAAATTAGCGACCCAGTAAGTACGGTCTCCATTTCTGAATTGCCATTACGATCGCCATCAACTCCCTCTCATAAACCGATTTCAATCGTGCACGGGTTCCCAAAACATGGCTGAAAAATGCTAACGGTCGCCCCTCCTGCATTAACACAGCACCCAACCCAAAACCCGATGCGTCCGTTTCGACAACGAATTCTTTGTCAAAATCGGGTAAAGCCAACACAGGCACTTGGGTCATAGCGGACTGGAGTTGATGAAATGCCTTTGTTGCTTCATCATTCCAATGAAAGTTATCTTTTTTGAGTTGGTCGGTGAGAGGCCATGCAATCTTGCCATAATTTTTTACGAACTTGCGATAATATCCAGTCA